TTATAATTTACTGAACGTAATTTATTCCATCATTTGGAACAGAACAGAGAAAATTAGAGAAACTTTATTATTAACTATTTAAAATGTATGTAGCGACAGATAAAGTACTGACTATAAAACAAATCCTCAGTATAACCGCGCCCAATGAAAACAATTTATACCGCGCGTTTATTATAAGCTGAGCCTCATTAGAAGGCAATTTTGACAAAGTAGAAGACTAGAGGCATGAGAAGTGGGATTCATGCAATTAAGTTTTGCCTTAATTGACTGCGGTGATCCAAACTGATGGTAGGCCGTCATTACAGGAGAACGGAAAGAGAAAATAGGAAACCGCAATAGCGGATCTTTAAGTATTTGATTTAAAATTACCTCTTTCTCCTCTTTTTCATGTGAAAGTCCTCTTTTTTCTAATTTTTTATTAAAAAAGTTATTTGATACATCTTCTCTTTTATAAGATCTAAGACGATATGTATCTATATTAATTAAAAAAAGTATCTTGTTTCCCATGACAACGCTGACAATATCAGCAACAGAAACAGACTTGACCGAACCAGTGTTTCTCAAAATCGTTTTATATCTTTTAATATAAAGATATATTCAAAAATTTTTGTAGTACAGTTGTTGAGAAAAAAAAGGAACTTTCATACGTCGTAAAAAATTTTAAGTTAAATACGAGCACTTATATTATTGCCCCATAAAGATTCCCTCTTGCGGTTTCCTAATCCCATTTACTTTTTCCATTTTTGTGTAATGGCGGCCAACCATGCACCCTGTAGAAATAGTTTGTAAAACTTATTAAAATTCTTAAAAATCTTTTATTTAAGTAAAACTAGAAGTTTCATTACCTTTTTATTTTGTTGCTTGAAATGTTTATGTAAAAATTGGAACCTGGATGGTGAGAAATTAAAAACTAATTAATTAAAAACACTATCATATGGTTTAAACTGAGCGCGACCATTATTACATCAAATATTCTGGCATGATTATAAATCTCTGTGAATATATTTAATGAATATTATAAATAGTAAATATAAAAACGTGAAACTATGCATAATAAATTAACTCAAGCTCACGAAAACGAATTAATAAAAGACGGATGTGGTATGAAATTAGATACCTACGGACTGAAAATAGCTGCGGCTGTTTACGGACCATCTCTGTGCATGTGAAAAACAACTGTCATCCATGTTAGAATGTCACGTTTTATGGCGTTTTAATCCTGCATCGTTTAGCATAGATATCCTGCGGTTTTAATTGTTGGCTCTTCGCATTCGATAAATTACTCGACAAATAGCGATAAATCCGAGTTATTATACAATTTAATACTTTAATACCGTCGCTATCCCAAATTCCCTCGCAGCGCAGTCATTAAATAACTGCTGTAAAAGAGTTAGGAAAGTTTCGCCCCGAAATGCCTAATATGTTATTTATGAAACAGATGCTCGGAGGAGTTCCAACGTGTCGAAACTTCTTTGTATATGAATTCTTTAATACTACCCCTATACATCGATCTGCTTTGTTGTTTGATGTTAGCATTGGAAAAACAATGTTTATTTACGTATCTGAATGAATTATGATTTAGATGTCTCGCGAAATACTTTCACGCAACGTCACTATCTTCGCGATTGTTCATTGTTTCTTTTTATGTAGGTACTTCACGGTAGTGAAGTACTCAGCAAACAGTAAACATTGTTTGCTAATTAATGTAACGCCTACAATTTATTCGAAATATCAATAAACCGGATGCTAATAAAATATTAAAACACTTATGGCTGGCTTTTATTAAAGGAACAATTGTTGTACGCACATATTTAAACCGCAAATGTCGTTAAACCAGTTAATTATAGTTAATACATTTAAAATTACCCCAAATACTGCCACACTTTTACACGGTTTTTCTTGGTCAAAATTAAAAAAAAGCTCAGATGAACTAGGATAAATTCTGAGATCTTGTGCAAGCTTCTTGAAAATTACCTGCTTGTCAAATCTACTAAAACACCAGTTGGGGTTGGTACTTTCGATACTGATTAAGGTTTAATTTAATTAATTGCAAGATAGACTATACATACAGAGTGATTCACAACTTATCCAAAAAAATTTACGCATGGAAAATGGAGTCAACATCGTAAATAAAATTTTTATAAAATCCTTACAATTTCCGGTAAAAAAAATTGTAGTACTTTCCACCATTACATCGCTGGACAACTGTAGTCTCTAGAGTCATTCGCGTTGTGAGCTATATGCCATGGGCGTGGAGAGCCACGTGGCCCTAGTGACTCTGAATACTGAAATCCGATTTTACAATTAGTATTAACGTCATTGCGATGGTATTTACAATAGTTTTTTAGTAGTTAGTGTCAAAAATGACTTACGTGAGTAGCAACTGATGGATATCGTTTTAATTTATGGTGAAGCAAGACAACATTTGTGTTCGTAGAAACTGTGTAATACGGGTTTACACGTAAGTGAACAAAATTTTGAACAGTTATTGCAACATCAGGTATGTCAAATTATTTTATTAAGTAAAACCACAAATTTCATTAATTAATAATAGAAATAGCGGCACAAGCAGTTGGATGTGCTGATATAAAATAGGTGTTATAAAATTCTATTTATTCCTTTCCTTGCGAAATTCTTTCAAGTTTTTGTCTGTTTTTTATTACACTTCGCCTTGTGTACGGTTAGGTTTTACAGTGGACCAGTTTCCAACGCCGCTCTATGGGTCAAACGGCATTTTTTTAGGTCAAAGTCAAATATCTCAAAGAAAAATTAACGAATCGTTTTACATTTTTTTAAATTAAAGCTTATATGATGCAGATTTAGGGAAAATTATTGGGAATGTCATTATCCCCTCTTTTGGGGGGTGGAAATGAAGGGTGAATAGGTGAAAAAAGTGAAAACCGATTTTCTTTGTTAAAAAATCTTATATCTTCGATAAATACAGTGAAATTAAGACACATGGTTGGAATCAATGCTCAACCTTAATTTGCACCCTTAAGGAGGACGTAATGAAAAACCTCCAGAAAGTAAGAGAGGATTAAAAACAGTGATCATATTTATATTCATCGAATCCCTTCCAGTGACAGATTTTTTAATTTTTGCCTAGTGATGAAAATCTCCACCTCTTATTCCTACCCTTAAAGCACAGACTAATAAAAAGCTACACATAAAATTTGACGACGAAAAAATAAACTTTTACATATCTAGGGACAACAAAAATCCTCAACAAATACCTTCTTTGACGTTTTACATTCCACCCCTAAACCCCAAATTGCCATTTCCCTTAAGTAAGGGTTAATGAAAAATCACCCTGAAATTTACAGATGATAAGAAAATGGTTTACCATATTATTTAAGATCAGCAAATTGAAAGACTGGTAATATTTCAGAATTTTATTAGTCAATCCACCACCCCTCAGTTATTCCCCTAAATCAGGGCTCCTGAAAAGGAGTTTTTTGTTTTATTGATGCTTTTATTCCTGTTCAGCGACAAAAACCTTTTATGCATATTTTCTTTAATTTTCATTTTTCCACACCCTCACCCCTAAAATATATTCATTAATTTTTCCATAACTTGTTTCAATTGAGCATTGATTCTTATTGAAGATATTAGATTTTTGAACGAAGAAAATCGATTTTTACTTTTTTCACCTATTCACCCTTCATTTCCACCCTCAAAATAGCGGATGATGACATTCGCAATAATTTTCCCTAAATCTGCATCGAATAAGCTTTATTTAAAAAAAAAATGTAAAACGATTCGTTAATTCTTCTTCGAGATATTTGATTTTGACATTAAAAAATGCGGTTTGACCCATAGTACGCCGTACAGAAGTGCCCTTTCTTATTTTTTTTACGAAGTTATTATTGTAAGAGTTCCTTGTTCATACAAAATTTTATTTTTGGATAAGTTCTGAGTCATCCTGTATACCTCATAAAACTTACTTACTAGGTAGGTTTAACTGTATAAAAAATACCAGCTTTCAAGCACCATCGTCACATTTAATAATAAAAATGCGTACCAAACGGTTTGACACACGTTTTTGTCATTGATAACCAAGAATTTGGAAGAGACAGAGAGATCAAAAACTGCATTTTATGTAATTTTATCTTCGTCTGCTTATCTCAGTATTGGCAACACATATTTATATGTAACAACAAATAACATGGGATTCGTAGACTTTTAAAGCTATCTTGATTCGGAAAATTTATAACTTCGTCAGTTCAGTTTTTATTAACCCCACAGATTCCATATTTACCAGAAGAGTACATTAGCAGTAACACATACCTTTTTGCACCAGTCTTTTGCAATCGAAGTGCCTGATATAGTGATGAATATTTTTTACTTATATACTAGTCCTTTTGGCACAAACATTTCTTTGATTTATTTTGTACTTCACAGGTGAAAAAATATTGCAGGGAAAAACGTAACCTATACAACAAATAAGAGAAAACAATATAAACTATATCTCAAATAAATAACTTGAAGCAATAGATAATATAGCCGTTGAGTCAAGCCAGTCCAGTGTGGTGACGTTACAAATGTACTGCGAACTGCTTGGAATGCTTGAAATATTTTACGAATTAGAAATTACCTATCACGGTTAATATTAAACCTATCGACCTAATTTTTTTCACCGCATATTTAGAGGGTGCTTGAGGAAAACGTAAAAACAAATTATAAATTAAGTATTACTGAGTGAGCCCATTATAGTTCAAACAATAGATATTGGTACATTTTGAATTCATCTGTTGTTTTGAAATAGGTACCTAAATATTTACTTTCAGTATTTTTACATCTTCTTTCAGATCATAAATTGCTTTAAAATTTTCAAGTTATAAGTCCCCAATTATCTTTTTCATAAATACCTTTAGCTGAAAGCAATTCTGAACTCCTCTTACTTACTAAACGTTGTTGGAAATCAATAATAATATATCAATGGCATTTAGAAACGAATTCTTATTAAAACATTTACAACCAAGAAAAACTATGGTACTTACTTCCAAACAAGTATGACTGCTATAAACACAAGAAGTCCGAGTAGCACGGAGCACAGAACTATCACAGCCGATGTCTGGAAAGATGGACTACTGCGGTAGCTTGCGTCGATCAGCTGAAACAACAAACAGTGTCAAACATCTGTAATCATAATTTAAGCTCATTTGTTTGGAGTAGCTAATGGGATTTCGGGAACCGTAAATATCAATTTTTAGTCGGTTTATATTTTTTAAGCTTCTGGGAAAAATGTTTATTTTTGAATGGGAAAGACGTTCCCTTCTAATTATCTTCCGAATTTTAGATTTCAAGTTTCATCAAAGCCGCCCACAACTTTCCTTTTTATAGGGTAAAGCTTTCATGTAACGCAAATATACATAATCTTGTAAGACGAAATTGGTAAGATTATTTCCTTGAAATTAGCGCAATACTTATATATTTATTACGCATTGTACCTACAGTAAATTTACATTATATTTAAACAAGACAAATTTGTTTATAGAAAAATGTTTAAAAAAGTTACAGCAAATTAATAATCTTCATCAAAGAAATACTAGAAGCATTTCAAATTCCTATGGAGGAAATATATTTTTCATAGTAGGTTTACAGATGTTCGCGTTGAATTACTTAAGATGATAAAATTGTTAAAATGACGTACGTATTTTATTATTTACAATTAATAATAATAATAACAATATAGTCTTTATTGCTTATCAAAAAAAGTGAATACACTAAACATATCAAAATGAGTGGCGATATCCAACAGAGTTGTTCAATATAACACAAATACAAATATAATTCCAAAAGAAAAAAAAAACAATATAAAAAATATAAATTAGAAATAACTATGTAAGACTTCGACTAAGTACAAGAAATTCTTAGATCCTTTCTCTGAATATAGCAATGTTACAAGATAATTTGATGTTTACTGGTATCGAATTAAATACATTTACAGAGTTGTAGGCAAAGCTGCCATGGAATAAAGTAAGCCTGTGCTTGGGTATATTTAAATGATTACGATGTAAATGATATAGTCATGTATATCGGAATTTTTTATGATTTTGTCATATAAGTATAGCGGCTGTTTAATAGCTAAAACGTTATATACAAGATATACAAGACAGGTTAGGTTAATTACAAAACATTCACGTAGATTACACCTTATAACAAAACTTAAGGCAAGCATTTTGGATTTTTTGTAAAGAGTATTTATCTCTTACTGTCAATGCAGACTAGTAGGTACACAAATATCATAATATGTTACTCGAGAAAGAGTTATTGAGTTACACATTCGTAACTTAACATCAGTAGATAAAATATCTTTATACATATAAAAAAGTTTTAATTTACCAAAAGACGTTTTTACCGAATTAGACACATGATAACTAAATCTGAGATTTACATTCAATTCTAAACCAAGATTTGTTACAAGTAGTTATTGGTTGTAAGGTTATAATATTTAATACAACATTAAAAGATTGACATGAAATAATAATATTACGGTGATTACCAAACACTAATATTTTTGTCTTACTTTCATTAATAATTAATTCATCAGCTTCAGAATATCTACTGATAGCAACAAGATCTGAATTAATATTTTCAACAGCCTTATCCAGGTCACGATAATCAGAAAAATAATAGATTGGCGTGATCGACAAAATTCAAGGTGACTAGACAAATCTGAAGTATATATGGAAAAAAGCAAGGGACCTAAAATACTGCCTTAAGGTACACCTTTACTTAAGCAAATTCTGAAAACGTGTTATTTAAAAGAACTCTTTGGTGTCTATTACTTAAATAATTTTTAAAAAATGTTAAAGACAAATTACTCACACCAAATTAATATAAGTTTAGTACTAAGAGCAGCATGGTCTAGGGTATATACAGTGTAGGAAAGTACCGATGGTTTATCTATAAGATCCACTTCTTATTTGTGGAAGGGCGAAATGGGCGTTGACTATTAGACGCCTTCATTATAGCCTTCCTTGTCTATCACATGGATTTCTATGGCTTACTTTATCGCTCTCACGTAACTTCTGATAGACCATCGGTACTTTCCTACACTGTAATTATAACAACAGTTGCATCAATTAGCTATTTTTTTTTCAGATACCTCAATGTCTCCTAGATTTTTAAACATGTTAAATTTAAAACCTTAAATTTGTATTAAAAAAAAAATTGCTCTATTTTATGGTTTTAATCGACTCTGATTCGGACGATGTAGTTAGATTTATAAAAATATCTGAAAAGATTTTCCAAAAAATTGCTCAAATCGATCGTAGCAGACCGTAGATTAACCAAATGGATAAGTGATCTACAAAGTATGTTTATATATTATTAGATTACAAATTTTTATATAAATATTCCTTTGGTCTAATAAATAATGTTTATTTATTTATTTATTTATAAACTGTCCTACAGGTGTAAAAAAGGTTTGTAAAAGTGTATTCGGTAAATCATAAACCAACACAGGATTTATTGCAGTATCCTTCGTTCAATGTCATATTTTGAATATCAACTAATTTCACGTATTAATCGGTAGAACCGTACAGACCAACTAATGCGTGTAATCAGTGGTCATAAATAATTAGAATTTGTAACTGTCATAGAACAGAGTATCGGACAAGAGCGCTATCTGTTGATAACGCACGTTATTAGAATCAAATGGAGCCGTAACAGATAGTGATGTGATTTGTGTATAACTTGATAACAGGAATGAAATGTAATTAATTTTGCTATGATTTAGGACTTAGGAGTTGAGCTGTGCTGCCTACTAATGAGACGGGAATGCAGAGCCGCCTGCCCAGATGCAACGTCTGCTTGATTACACGGGAAAAGTTATCTTGTTCGATCGGGCCGTAGATTAACGGTGATATTGAACCCAGATTGAGTTGTCTTAGATTATATCTACAATGAGCTTAATTTCCTTTAATGAATTAGCTTCGTAACATTTATTGTCTTAAGAAGTTAAAAGAAACAGGAAATTTTATATATCTACATTATCTACGTATTGTCTTTTCTTACAATACTGACAGTAATCAGTCAATGAACGTGTTGTGAAATAAACCGTTACACATTGAAGCAGTTTGGGTCACGAGCCTTTGGGACGAGTGGTTTAATCCAAATTAATAAATAAAAAAACAAATTTAATTTTATATGATCGTTATTAATTGTCATTCCTTCAATATAGGTATTGCTTGTTGAAGTTGACAAAACAACGATTACACAGCCCTATAAAAATAAAAATGTTCTGTTAGATTTTGTGTCTTTATTCCATCCGATTTACCAGGTCATTTTTTAATATAACGCTAAAATACCCCCTAAAATAGGGTGAAATAGTGAGGATAAGATAAACCTTTATAAAGAATAGCAACAATTTGTAAATACTTTGAGAAAACATTTTTAAATAATATTTTGAGCATTGGAAAGAAATATATACGAATTAAATTTGAGGCAATTGCGGGAATTTAAGTTAAAGATAAAGATATATTGAGAAGGTTCAAATAGCTATTTATATTTTATGTAAATAAGTTAACTAATTTACAAGGTTGTATATTTGAGTTTATCCATTGGGGCCTAATTTTTTTTATAATGAAACTCGATGGTTAGGTTTTGTTGATTTTGCTGAATTTTGTGCAAAATTATCTGCCTCATTATCAGCGTTGTACGTTACAGTAAAGAAATAAGCTGAGTTTTCAATTTCTGTACCACTAAATAATACTTTTAACGGTCCATTTGATATATTTTATAACATAATATATTTTGCTTTGATAATGAGAACAAAAACAGGTTTCAAAACATTAACTAGTAAACTGTTTTAGTACCATGTAAGCAATAAAAAGCATTTATTAGTTATTTATGATTTATTATGAGATGGGTGGTTGTTAGATGAAAATAACTTGACAAGAGATTATTTAATGATGTGTAAGTGAATGATGTTCTTATTACCTAAGTTTACATTTATTTACATATTCATATATAATATTTATTGCAATAATAACATACTAATTAATAAGTGAAATTAAACAGCGAATTAGTAAAACATAATTAATTACTGTTAATTTTCACTGTTAACTTTCTTTAGTAAAATCAGATACTTAAACAAGGATTTATGATTTATGTATTTCCATATATAAAAAATATCAATTTACCATAATTATCACAGTTTACAACATTTAGGATCCAAAATATTATGAAGAAATAATCAGTCTGTCTTATTTTTTTTTGTTAAGTGAACCGATATATTTATTTGACAGAAAAAATACTTCTATTTCAAAGACAAGATGTTGTTACTGTAAAATGAGACAATTGTGATCAATTGATTTTAGTTTTATAAATATTATGCACTGTATGAACGAAATATTTATTATTTTAATAAGTAAGAAGTAAANGGGGTTGGTACTTTCGATACTGATTAAGGTTTAATTTAATTAATTGCAAGATAGACTATACATACAGAGTGATTCACAACTTATCCAAAAAAATTTACGCATGGAAAATGGAGTCAACATCGTAAATAAAATTTTTATAAAATCCTTACAATTTCCGGTAAAAAAAATTGTAGTACTTTCCACCATTACATCGCTGGACAACTGTAGTCTCTAGAGTCATTCGCGTTGTGAGCTATATGCCATGGGCGTGGAGAGCCACGTGGCCCTAGTGACTCTGAATACTGAAATCCGATTTTACAATTAGTATTAACGTCATTGCGATGGTATTTACAATAGTTTTTTAGTAGTTAGTGTCAAAAATGACTTACGTGAGTAGCAACTGATGGATATCGTTTTAATTTATGGTGAAGCAAGACAACATTTGTGTTCGTAGAAACTGTGTAATACGGGTTTACACGTAAGTGAACAAAATTTTGAACAGTTATTGCAACATCAGGTATGTCAAATTATTTTATTAAGTAAAACCACAAATTTCATTAATTAATAATAGAAATAGCGGCACAAGCAGTTGGATGTGCTGATATAAAATAGGTGTTATAAAATTCTATTTATTCCTTTCCTTGCGAAATTCTTTCAAGTTTTTGTCTGTTTTTTATTACACTTCGCCTTGTGTACGGTTAGGTTTTACAGTGGACCAGTTTCCAACGCCGCTCTATGGGTCAAA